AGCACCTCTGAGAGAAAGCCGCCCTTGAGTTCTCCCCACTGTCAGACAGTCGAGTTTCTCCCCATATGAGTTTGGGTCCCCAGAGACTCACACGGAACTAGAGTTCAGGGCCTTTGGGAGCTTGTGTCTCCCTCCCGATTGAAAAAGACAACCGTTTCCTCAGTTGCCAGAACTTTCTGCGCGCGACTCTGTACCTCTGCACTTGACTTCCGCACCGCCTCTGAGTCTCAGTGTGCTTTTCTCTTTCCTTCTAGTTGTACAATTTCCACTCAGCCAGCCTTCCTGTGCTTCTGGATGATGTCCGTTTTGTCTTTTAGTTGTATATTTGACGTGGTTGTGTGAGGCAGCAATTTCCAGTGTTTACCTATGCCGCCATCTTGGTTTCTCTAGCCTTTCTTTCATTTTTTTTTCTATTTATGTTGGCTTATGTGATTTCTTACCTTTAAAATTATTTTTTGTCTCTTTAACCACTCTTTCTGTGGTGTCATTTTATTATTTTAGTATGGCTTTACTCAGATGTTGTACAGGGCTTTTTGTAAGTCAAATAGCATTTCCCCTGTTAAGTTAACCATAGCAAATAATGTTCTTAAGATCCTTCAAGGAGGACTGGTTATTACTTGAAATATGACAATTCTAACCCTTCATAATGACTGTGTGTTTTAAAGGCATTTGCTGTAGAACAGTTGAATTAAGTGCTTGCATGTTAAATGCCTGCCACCTAATAATTACCTCAAGGGAGAAATTAGTTTGGTTTAGTTTAAGCTTAATCTAAAGAGAAAATAATTTATCATATTCGTTTTCTCCCCCACCCCCATTTATTTATTTATTTATAATTCTTTATTGTTTAAAGTATTACATATGTCTCTTTTTTCCCCATTGACCTCTCCCTGATCATTTCCACTCCTTCCCCACCCAACACATGCCCTCAACCCCCTACTGTCTGTGTCCATGGCTTCTGCTTATATGCACGCATACAAGTCCTTTGGTTTATCTCTCACCTTCCCCTCTCTCCTGTCTTCCCTCTGAGGGTGGATGGTCTACTTGATGCTTTTATGTCTCTAGATTTAGTTTAGTTTATCAGTTTATTTTGTTCATTATATTCCACAAATGAGTGAGATCATATGATATTTATCTTTCTCTGACTGGCTTATTTTGCTTACCATTAATGCTCTCCAGCTCGGGTATGTCCCACAGGAATCAGGCTTAAACTGACAGCCGGACATCCCTCTCACAATCCGGGACTACTGGCTCCTAACCACTCACCTGCCTGCCTGCCTGACTGCCCCTAATCCCTCTGCCTGCCA